TCTGATAATTTCCATCTTTTGTCGAGATTATTCCAGAATTGCAAAATTCACTTTCTAAATCCTGTGAGCAGTTGTCCTCTTATGCTTGTACATACTCTCACATATATATTCTAATAATCAAATCAAAAGATTTATATTACGTGAAAGGAAGAAGACTGCTTAGCCTGTCATTTTACACCTGCATAAGGCACCTTTATATGTGCTGGCAACCCCGTACGGTAGTGAGAGAGAGCTGTTGTCACTACTTTGAGCGTCAGCACCCACAAATGATGCAACATGACATCAGTGGATTGTATGTAGCACAGTCAGGCTTACTGAGCTGTCAGCCTGTGACATGTTTTATCAAAGCATACCAGAAGAAAGAGAAAGATGTAATGCTCGAGAGTCCAGCTCCGTCTGCACTGCGCTCTCTTCCCGTTGTTAAGGAGACAGCAATGTATTGGAAGATTTGTGAACAAAGCTGACAACTGAGGCAAAAAAGGACAAATCTCGGTGAAAGGACTCAGCTAGAAGTTTTATTGCTTTTTCTTTTAACACGACAATGGGTCGAAGAAAGAATGAAAATTTGTATAACATAGATTGTCCTGACGTTTACAGCCTGGCTTACCTGCATTAGGAATTAAACTGATGCGGACAAGGCTTTGTTGGTGCCAAGGGAAGGCAAAACCATCAGAGTGACCGTCATCTCCCTCAGGGCTAACTCAACCTATATAGTACAGTCGGATTTTTGTCTAACAGATGGCAACACAGCTGTGTAAGCATGTTCATGTGATGGTTACCCTTGTACAACAAATTTCCACTTACAAAATACACCTTGTTTTTGACAAACTTTTCGTCCTTGTGTGTTTGTGTTCCCCTAATTCAAGTGTGTCCTCATTACTAGGGTGTGGGATGCTGTCTTTATATCAAAGCCACTGGCATCTGAGAGAGAGGCACCATGTCTTCTTTGCGTTGTTGGGCTGATGCACTCCTTACACCAATGGTTAGAATGGTCTCGTTCACAGTGGGTCACAAAAAGATGCTTGGTCATTGTCATAGTTATGGGGTTTTAATTCTGTTACATACGGTCGTATTATACAATTATTGTTCTCCATATCTTATCTTCACAATCTTTTACCATCAACTTGCTTGATCATCTTTATGTTTTGTACTAAGCAGTTAATGGTTTCCACCATTATGTCATTTTCTCCTTTCAAACTAGTGTTCTTTGTGTTTTCCCAGTTTCTACATTTTTGTTGTGTATTTTTGTTCTTTTGTGCATCTTATTGTTTTTTTTGTCTGTTTTTTGGACCTTTACATTTTCATTTTCAGTCACCTGTTAATGATATTTAGCTTGTTGGATTAAAAGTATGGTGTTTGGATTTAGTCTTCTGATTCAAGTGTCTTCTGTTTACATCTTTAAAACCATTGAAGTAAGGCATCACATCAACTTGTTGTGAATGGCTGTATTTCAACCCAAGTCACAATCTTTTTCCCAAACATGACATAGCCTTTAGAAAGAGATAAAATATATTAATCAGCCCAGTTTTGTTTCCTTTGGACAGTTTGTTCTTTATGTTAAGCTAACCAATGCTAATACTGTAGTAATACTGTAGTTAAACTAGTCTCCATACAACTAAGTATATACCTTGCTTTCAGCTAGATTTCTTACTCAGTTTATAATGTATAAAAAGTTTGGAGTCACCTGAATAATACTAAAATCTAGTTCAAACTGACTGAAAGCCATCAGCTGTCCAATCAGTGCATTTTAGCAGTCAATAAGATTTCTTTCTGGTTTGTTTCTGACAGAAAATAATTTCCAATAATACATGTTCTCTTTCAGCAAATGGACAAAACAAGAAAAAAAAAAACATTAATTACTGTAATCTCGCATTTCTCCACATTACTGTGTGGAACCTTTACCGATAAAATACAAGAACAAGAAGTTTGAAAACTGCATTTGCTCATGGATTTATAAATTCATTTATGAAACTAAATTCAAGGAGCTCAAGCAGAAGCTCCTAATGGTGCAATAATATTCTATATTACGTGCCTCAGGAAAAAATAATCGCTTTTATTGCTCATGAATCCTGTTTAAAAGTACATATGGGCGGCATTTTTACATAAAGTGGATAAAGAGTCTCATACAAAGACAGCAACCAATACGAAAGATTTGAAAAGGTGAATATTTCCCAGCGCTAAAAGATCTCAGAACTTTTGATGCAATCATAGACATATAGTATATTACAAAAATACTACAATAAAATATGTGTCTATAAAATATCTAACAAAGTAGATGAACACTTTGTGTCTATTTGTTCGACTTCTATTGTTGTGTCGTAAGTTGAATTAATTTCACAGAAGCTTATCTGTAAGATCAATAAGGAACATCTGTAGTCACTCATCTGTCTGCTTCTCAGGTGTTGGCACCTAATCTAAGTTTTACATAACTTCCACTTTCCCACACTGTCAAGCTGATTGTGACATCACTGGTCTAGTCCAATCGGCTTTCTGCCGGCCAATCAGCCTTCACTCCGCGTACTTTAAATCTCACTGTGCGTCTGTCTTGCAGTTTCCTTCCTCCAACTAGCCCTCTCCCCGATCACCATCTCTAATTATTCAGGCTCTATTCAAGACTCCATCTTTATCTCCACCACCAGCGTTTAGACTCCAGGGGGTCTTGCCCTAATCCCATCGAGGTCTAACCGCCAAATACCTCAAATTGAATTCTGTACATAGATAAACCATGCTCAATTCCTTCTAATGATCTCTTCTTATTGAACTATATGTCAGCGTCATTGATGTACTGTGGAACTGTATAGAACATATCCTTGTTGGTATTTCTGTTATTTTGTCCCTTACAGTAAATTTTAGATGGTGGTGCAGGCTTGGTAAAGGTCATGAGTAAATAGATATGGGCCTCAAACATGGTCCACGGTTTATACTGTACGCCTTTGTGAGTGAACCTCTTCTCTTCCTGAAAGGTCACCTCTGAATCTCTTCTGCCTACATTTCTCTGCCCAGTAACCGTAATACACGTTGAATATACGTAGATAATACTAGGAATCTTTCTGAGGTTATATGTAATATGTGTGAATTTCTACAGAATTTCTATATTTTTTGATAATATTTACCCACCAAAATTTTACCCTTCAAGTGAAAAACTGCCCATGAAAAATGATACATAAAATATAAAGGCAGATTCTTTGAGGTTATGGGACTTTTCAGCTGCTGTTTCTAGATGGTGTCCATTAAAATGAGTACATGAGACAACCTGTCTGTCATCACTGACAGCTCTCACCATGAGGCCTTTTGGGGATCAGCTTCAGAGCGCTCAGAGGATCAGAACAGTAGGCATCCAGCCTGCTGTACTTGGCTAAAAGAAAAACCTTTTGCACAGAGTTTCACAGTTTTAAAGAGTGCTGATTTTAAATTGTTACATTAGGATTGAGACAGTGAAACCTCAGAAAAGTCTGTAGCATAAATATTAGCACCACATTGTAGCTTTTTTCTACGACACTAAAAATTAAGAAAAGGACTTTAGCTGTGTGAACTGAAAAATGAGAAATCTCTCTTTCTCTCTCTCTTTCTCATATATCTATAACATGTTGCTTTTTTATTTCTAAGAATTTTGTGTTGTATTTCTTCTTGGTATTAAAAGGTTTATAGTACCATTTGGCCTCATCAAAACTGTGGATCATAATTTTGGTAGTTCCGCTGTTTTTTTGGCTTTGTTTTTTTAAATTAACTTCTTTGGTGAAAGTGATTATTGCAAAAAAAAAAATAAACAAAAAAAACACTTTGCATGAGCTTTCTAAGCATTTCACAACCCAAATGAGGAAGCGTTTGTCATATGATTACAGATTGATTTTGTAAATTAGAAAAAATAGTCATATATTTCTTCTTCTAAGTTATTGAAAAGCACAGCCTACACATGAAGAGATGTTGCAAGGTAGTCACACATAAGTCACAATGCTGCAACTAGCACCTCACACATACATAATAATGAATATCTGAATTGACGTAGTTAATGTAAAACAAATTACAACCATGCTTCCATGGTTCTAGAGAGAACCATGCAGACTACAAGGCAGAGTTTCCCATTAATCAAAATTGCTCATGTAAAAAAAAAGGATGATTGAAATTGATTTTTAGGTTTTGAGTGTATTAGGAATTAATGATACAAATATCTGGGGGAATTAAAAGCTAGCTGTATGAAGTCAAGTGTGGCCATCCATTTGGGCAGTCAGCCAGGTGTGAGGACTGTTAATGTACAGAGGCAGGCTGACTTTTTCCATGTCTAACACATGTGGTTTGTGTAATATTCTTTCCAAATTTCTGACTACAATGGTGCAGACACAATGAAAAAAGGAAACAAATGAGAAAAACTGTGTAAAATCATATATAGCGCACAGCATAAAAAAATGTAGTAAATGAGTAGTTCATGTAACTTTTGCATTTTGTCTTAACAAAATTGTGTAACATCCCAAGAAAGAACACAACATGCATTGTTTGTTGTGGAAACTAGTTCAGGTACCCTACACTTGAACTAGTTTCCACTGCATGTATGTCGGTATCTGTAATGACAGCTTATAAGCATGTGCGTCATTAAAAATAGCTTCTTAGCACAGTTTAATCCTGAGCTTCATTCAGACAATCCTCGTGTGATTTCTCACACCTTCTTTGCATTGCAAAGTACATGCATATGAAGGTTATAATAGAGAATATTAATGTAAAATAGTCTCAAGCATAAATATCAGACCTGCTCATTAAACAAGCGCTTTTGGACCATATGGTCCAAAGACTATACTGGCATTCTGTCAGAACTGGATTTATGGCTCTCAACCCTGTACACAATCCATGATCACACAGGCTCATTAAGTTACATGCAACTGAAAATGTATAACGTTAGTTTTGATCATAAAGCTTAATGGAGCACTGTAACAAAAAATAATTTCCCCCAGGGATCAATAAAGTATTCTGATTCTGATTATCTTTTGTTTTGTTTTTCTTTTTTTCAGGTCCTCGTTGCATAAGCTAACATGGACAAAGTGGTCATCAGTCTCCTGTTCCTGGGAACTGCAGTTACGATGGTCCATGCATGTCCCAAATACTGTGTCTGCCAGAACTTGTCAGAGTCCTTGGGGACTTTATGCCCCTCCAAAGGTTTGCTCTTTGTTCCACCAGACATTGACCGGCGAACTGTGGAGCTCCGGCTGGGTGGCAACTTCATCCTAAAGATCTCCACCCTGGACTTTGCCAATATGACAGGTCTGGTGGATCTCACTTTGTCCCGGAACACCATCAGCGACATCCAGCCTTTCTCATTTATTGACCTGGAGACATTAAGATCGTTACACATGGATAGTAACCGGTTGACTGAACTGGGACCAGATGACCTCCGAGGACTGGTTAACCTGCAACACCTGATCCTCAACAACAATCAATTGAGCCGTATCTCTAAAGTAGCCTTTGATGACTTGTTACTGACACTGGAGGATCTTGATCTGTCATATAACAACTTGCGCACTGTGCCTTGGGAGGCCATCCGAAAGATGGTTAACCTCCATCAAATGAGTCTGGACCATAACCTCATCTCCTTCATTGCTGAGGGAACCTTTACAGATCTCGACAAACTGGCACGCTTGGACCTCACCTCTAATCGTCTTCAGAAGCTCCCTCCAGATCCTATCTTTGCACGTTCCCAGAGCAATGTGGTGATGAGCACACCATATGCACCCCTGCTCTCACTAAGTTTTGGTGGAAACCCTTTGCACTGCAATTGTGAAGTGCTTTGGCTTCGGAGACTGGAACGGGAGGACGATATGGAAACCTGTGCTTCTCCTGCCAGTCTAAAGGGACGCTACTTTTGGTCTGTTCGTGAGGAGGAATTTGTGTGTGAGCCCCCTCTGATCACACAACATACACACAAATTGCTCGTGCTCGAGGGACAGACAGCTAGCTTGCGCTGCAAAGCTGTTGGCGATCCAATGCCAACTGTGCATTGGGTTGCTCCTGATGACCGTTTGATTAGCAACTCCTCCAGAGCAACTGTATATGAAAATGGGACTCTGGATATAACAGTCACCACATCTAAGGACTACGGTACATTCACCTGCATTGCTGCTAATGCTGCAGGAGAATCTACAGCGTCCATTGAACTATCAATCATTCAACTCCCCCATCTGAGTAATGGTACAAGCCGTACCACCCAGAACAAGTCAGGCCTGTCAGACATAACAAGCTCTACTAAGATCAGTAAAGGGGAGCCTAAAACTCTTCCAGAGAAGGTGGTGTCTGTATCAGAAGTGACCGCTGTTTCTGCTCTGGTCAAGTGGAGTGTTAGCAAAGCAACTCCAAAGGTCAAAATGTATCAGCTTCAGTACAATTGTTCTGAAGATGAAGTCCTCATTTACAGGTAAGAGTGATTACTGAAACTTGATTACATCTAAGTATGGGCTAATAACTCTCTCTTCAAAGTGGCACACTGAGTCTTGAGTGTAATCTTTCGCTTTAGAATACATACAGTTGGGTTTCTTCTGTCAGCTGTTAATTGTTTGGTGGGTGAGTACTTGAGACAGTCAGTTCCTTTGAAGTGTTACTTGAAGATCAACATTCATTTTTCTTAATCCTTCTTGAGATTTTTTTCTTTAAATTGAGAATTGACGGGTTGCTGTGTTCACATTTTTAAGCAAAAAGTGCAATCCAAAGTGCAATCCTTGCCCTGAACCATTAATTAGAAATCCAAGAAGAAAAAGGATTATAGACCCTCATTTCAATGTATCCTTCTTAAGCTGCTCAAGTTCATAAAGTGTGAGCTTGGAGACTGTTACTGAAGATCTTTGGGCTCTGTGAAATCAATTTCCTATGTCAAATGAGACAGTGAAAGCGGCAACATTCAGCAAAGATAACTGTTTGGAAATACAAAAATACAGCCATGTTGTTTAATATTAAATTGATGCATTTAGGTACATTAACCTCCTAAGACCCCAACTCTTTCATGGCATGCATTTTTAATTTGTCTTTGCTATTTGGGCTGATTGGGATCTGATGAATGTAAAACCAAAGAATTATCTTTTTACGTGATGTAGTTTCTGAGAAGAGGATATCAGGCCCTCGTAGAGCTAAATTTCGTATTGTGGTCTAGAATCTAGGCAACCCAATATGTGATGTCCACATATGTGGACACCAGGTCCTAGGAGGTTAAAGGATGAGTAACAACAATCAGATTTATTCATACAGTATGAGTCCCAATTTATAGGACAACTTGGCCTTTTTTGAAGAGAGGGGAAGACATGCACCAAAGGGCCGCAGGTCAGACTCTAACTTGGGCCTAGTGCTCTCCGGCCATACGGCATATGGTTGTCTGCTCACTCACTGATCTAACCCGACCCCCTACACCTTTTTTTTTTGCCACATAATGTGTTTTGTTTCCTCAAACTAATGTTAACTTATGTAAAGAAACTCACTGAAGGATCCTTGAATGACTAGTATGCTGGAGTTTATACATTACCACATTATGGTCTGTTTTAGGCCGAAAATTGAGCATTTTCATTTCATGCTTACTAGCACTGATAACTGAGGCTTACTTTCTCTATCAAACACCATATCTGATCACCAATACCTGATCTAATGAAATAATAAGAAAATCCAAATGGCTGGATATTAGCTAGGATTCTAAGAATAGAACTGTGCACAGCAATTGTGAAAGATATCACTCTGCCCAAATGCTTTTAATGCAACTTGCCATCACTGTAAATTCAATAATAAGCTGTTTATCTGATATCCTTGCCTTCATACTTAGTGCCAGCTTTTCATGCCAGAAAAAGGGAACAACATGAATTTTGAGATTTTTTTTTTCATCCCAGTGACAGAAACAGTGGATGACTCATCTGTGTTCTAGTAAACAGCCTTATGAATTTTCTCTAATTTGTACAAAACTGCAACTGTAAGGCTAATGTAAGCTTTGTAAAATGTATTTTCTTTTTTCATTCAGTGATTCGCAGCAGCAAAATTGTTTCCCTGAAAAGAGATTATTTAAATTGCATTCTTGATGTTGTCAGTCAAGACTGGCCCCATATAACAAAACATGTACATTTATTTGTTTGAATGCTAGTTTGAGATATTAAAACCATGCAAGTTCTTAAATGCAGATTTAAGGATGAATTTCTTAGTTTAACTTCACTTTAGTGCACAGTTGGTAGCCATTAATTTAAGTGTTGAGCACTGACTTTGCTTACCATGTGATTTGATGCTTTATTCTTTAATGTAATCCTCAGTATGTACTTTATATACAGAAGAAAAAATGGCCTAAAGCAATTCATTTATCTGCACACCAGAATACACATTATAAACTGGAAGGAAAAGATAATGTGAAAAGACAGGACAACTACTGTTTCTGAATTAATACTGATATCCTTTCATAGCATGCATATGTGCACCCCTAGCTGGCCGATGTAGTTTCCCACTGCCTGCACTGAAACAATGGCATGATTAAAAATCAATCACAGCCATGTGGAGCAGAGGAGGGATTGCATGAGTCCACTGGAACATGTGAGGAAGCACAGCTTCTTCCTGGTTATGGGAGAAAGAGGCAATTAAGGATGAATAATGAACTGTAGCCCCGCTGGTGTCTGGGCTCTTTGGTGGAGGCACTTCAGAGGGATCAAAGCTTTCAACACATATGCTATAAGAAAACAGCAAGCAACAATGGATGAATGACTGAGGAATCTATTTATACATGCCCTTATGGGTATGTTGGAGTCTAAACCTTTTTACCCCAGTGTTTTCCAGTTTCACATCAATAAATTATTTGTTGTATTGTACATGTAATTACAAAATTGTGTTGGAATATGATACATTTTCAAATCAAAAGTTGAAATACATTATGTTTTATACACCCCTCAAAAATGGCTTGGATTCGAAAGTTTGTTGAGGCTTCTCTAACCATGATGTTAAAGCAAGATTGAAGACCAATTATATTCATCTATTGTCTTTTTTGGCAGAAGATCAATGGCCAACGTCCATTCTATTTAATTCTGTTTAATTCAGTTCAGTTTCCAAATCATAGCACGTCACTTCAAGGTGCAACCTGTTCCTTATGGTACTGCTCCTGTGTTAGATTTTTAAAAATCTAATGGTCTAGGGCACGGTAGCTGAAAGTGGTCGTCAAATTATACGTAAAGTATCCTAAACACAAAAAAAGTATTTTCCAAACTGTGCATGTCCACTAATTGGCATCACCAGAGATTTATTAATTTAGCATCAAAACAGCATTTTAAATCCAACTACTTTGAAGTTTTGGATTCGATGGCAGCATGTGCGACCTGTCAAGCACAGCAAATTACCCTACAAAGAAGCAAGACAATTGTAACACTTAAAAAACTTTACTGCATTCAGTTGGAAAGTCATGCGCAGGGTTTTAAATTACATGTTTTGACACGTGGAGAAAAAGGATTTACTAATTAAATGTCTCTGAGATCAAATATCCAGATGAATGAGTGGATAAAAGCAGTTGCTGTCTGTGCAACAAAATACAGGTTTTGAAAACACCCTTTTCATTGGCAAAGCTCTTGGGCAATTAACTTACTGCAGATTTGAGTTTCAGTTTAACTCAAAAAGCACTGAAGCTTAATTAAGCAGTCATATTAAAACATCAGAAATAATAACAAATTGACTTGAAACAACTTAATGCGTGTTTAATGGATTGTACAAGATATTACATTTAGCCAAAACAATATTTAAAAATTGGCCATTCACTATTTATCTCATTACTATTTGCTTGCATGGATATCAAATGGTATATACCGGGAGCAATGAAGTCATCTTTTTGAATTACTTTGTGCATATAAATAACTACTTAGCATGGTTAATTGTGTACTATTTCCTTGATATGTCAAAGCATAAGATATTAATTCAAACTACTTTCAACATTTTGGTACTATGGCCTTGTTTTGAATCCCTGTGTCAAGAAGTCTGTATTTTTAATGTCATCTCTCTGTTTCTGTTTTCAGAATGATTCCCATGACTAACAGGGCCTTTGTACTCACTAATCTGGTCCCAGGGATGCAGTATGACCTGTGTGTCTTGGCCATTTGGGATGATACTGCTACGACTCTCACTGCCACCAATATTGTAGGCTGTGTCCAATTTGTCACCACTGAGGATTACCCACAGTGTCAGTCTATTCACAGTGGCTTCATGGGTGGCACTATGATCCTGGTCATCGGTGGCATCATCGTGGCCACACTGCTGGTTTTCATCATTATCCTCATGGTTCGCTATAAGGTGACGAGTGGGATCCAGACTAATAAACTGCCCACTGTGAGTAACACATACTCTCAGACGAACGGAGGAATGAACAGGTTCAACGGTGCCCCACCACAGGTCAAATCTACAGTGGTGGTCATGCGTGAGGAAATGGTAGAATTCAAGTGTGGATCGCTCCAGAGCAGTCTCTCTTCATCCTCCTCCTCTTCTAACTCGTTAGACAGCCAAACAGCAAGAGGGGCTGGTGACCGCTACAGCATGCAAAGCAGTGAGTGCACCACCCTGCCCAGCAACAAGTTCAGGAGGCATGGCCCCAAAGCACGCCCAAACTTGGACCACCTTTTAGGGGCCTTCACCTCACTGGAGCTGCGAGGGGCAGGGAGAGACGGCGCAGGGACTTCTGGACCCTCCACCAGTTCCAATGCTATGGCAGTGGCTGTGGCACCACCATCTGATAAAGAACCATTGCTTGGAAGGGCAGAGTCCACAACCATGCTCGGACGCATCCTAGGGCTCCCCCAGGAGGGTAAACCAAAGAGGAGCCATTCGTTTGATATGGGTCACGTAGGGGCCACACAGAGTCGCAGCAGCTACCCACGCAGGATCAGTAATATCTGGACTAAACGCAGTCTGTCTGTTAATGGCATGCTGCTGCAGTATGATGACAGTGAGGATGAGAAGCCCAGTTTTGAGAGCTCTGAGTGGGTAATGGAGAGCACGGTTTGAAGACCATAGAGACCACATGTGAGATTCATGACCAAACAATAAATCTATATGAGAATAAAAGAAACATGAGTGAAAAGTGAAGGATATCCCAAAGGGAAACTATCTTCTGCATGAAGCTAACCCAAGTGATAATATAAGACACTCAAATCAATAGATTCCTGGTCATGATCTCATCTCTGACAGTGTCAAACTGTATTTGAAAAATGTCCCCATTTTAAAACAACTGCAGAAATGGCCCACAAGGAATATTTCCCAAACCACAGGGTACATGAGATTATCCCTGAGGGGAGAAAGGGGAAAGAAAGACAAGAAATTCTAAGTGGATTTACTATGTCTTTATTAAAACAACTGAATACCAAGAGGATTTGCCTCGATTGTGGTGAAGTGGATCACAATGTCATGGACCCTCAGCATGAAATGGGACTACTGCAACAGTAGAAAGACCAGAGGAGCTAGTAGAAAATTAAAACAAAGTCATTTTTATTTTCAGTCATTTTTTCTATCATTTTTACTATTTATTATTTGAGGCAATTCATCAGCAGAAGCACATCTCGGTACTGAGGTTGTAGCTGTTGGTCACATACAAACAGACCCTCTCACACATACACATATGTAGAGGCTACCATCTCTCATACAGCCATTGCAAACACTTTCAAATTGATAACATGATTAATTTTCAGTAACAATATGGTCCTATTTTCTAAATACCATAACAATGAACCACAGCAAGCCAGTCTTGTATTTGTACCTCAGGTTATGTATCGTACGTTGTTATTTTAAAGCAAGTAGGACTACAGCTAAGATTGAACACAAACAGCTCCACACACAAAGTTCTTTGCTTGATTATAAAGCTGTCAAAAAACTATTTGTTGCCATCCAGTCAAAATCCAGTGTGTTTCCAGCTCAGGTTAAATCCTGCTCTAACAAAATGTCAGTTTGAGTGCTTTGATACTCTCCCCATAGGTTAGCCCTGGTGACAATGGTCCCTGCAGGCAAAAGGCCCATTGATGTAAACAGAGTGTTCGCCTCAGGGTACGGTTTCAGATGTTATCAAGATATATTATAGTCACTGGACGTGGATGGTGTTTGAAATCCATCAAGCTCACTTAATCATTTGCCCAAAGCTGCCAAAAGCAGGATCTATCGTCAGGCTGTTATTCTCATGAGGTAACACAAACAAGAGAGTATGGCAATTACTCATTTAGCCAGGTTAAATGGAGGAATTTGTCATTTGATAAAGGTCATCGTGCTGCTTAGAAGAAAGGAAAAAAGGGGAACGATAACTCATTAAGGGCCAAACATTTCACCAAGTTACATGATACAGAACCTTTGTTGGTTTATGTATTATTTCAATTGATCCATCAGAGAGCCCATTTATCTTTCATTCTCTTTCATACAGGGCTGTACATTGCAGTAAAATACTTTGAATTAGACTCTACTCAGATTACTGCTGATCAAAACTGCAACATCTCTGCATTTTAATGCCTTTCTCGATATTCTGTGGATCTCTGCTGCATTTTAACATGTGGGATGGTCATCGGTTTTCGTTTCTTCCCTACAGTAGGTGTACCGTTCTGTATATTGGCATTCTTTTTGTACAATAACTGGGTGAGAATGTAAATGGGGATGGGGGAAGGGGGCAATCGTGCAGTAGTACTTTTATTTTTATGTGAAGCAAACAGTGAGAAGGTGCTTTACTGTGACGTACCAACTTGATCATTGTTAGTTGGCTTATTGAAATGGGATTTTATGTGATACTGCAAGGGGGAAGTGGAGGACTGGCTTTTGTTAAAGGGTCAAGCCACTCAAATGACTAAAATACTTATTGTCCAACTTATCTCAAGTGGTATTCCTGCATGTACACTGTAGACAATCTTGGTTTTATTTGCTCATGGTTTCAGAGAGCTTTGCCTCTAGTGCAATACAACGGTGTTGGAAAATGCAGACCAATATATATATAGTTTAACAATGTATCTCTTCTATAGATCTGTTACATCTGTTACAAAAATGATCAGGACCCTGTTTACCTAAAGCTTTAATCATTGTTTAACCCAATATCACCACAAAACGTGCAATAGACACGCCAGTCCACCGTGTCCGTTTCACTCTTTGCCTCTACGAAGCGTGAAAAGGACACGCATGTCGAAGTTCCAGTAAGCTGCAGTAAAAGAAGAGGGAGATATTTTATTTCAAGCCAACTTGAAAATAATCACAGTAAAGTGTTTAAATAGATATTATTAACACATTTACATGTAAATACATATTAGCCCCCTAGCTTAACCATTTGTGGCGATTAAGGACCTTGGAATGTCCTGCATATGTTTTTTTGGTCACTACTGACTTCTTGGCTCTAAATATATTATCTCCCACTGCTGGTGATGCGGTAATGTAACTTCTGTATGTGTGTCCATTTCATGTTTTGGAGAGGCAAAGCGTGAAATGGACGCGGTGGACCAGAGTGTATATTACATGTTTTGCCTCAATACTGAGTTGCACTGTATCCGTGCCATACAGTATATCCATTCTAGCCAGTGAGCCACACTGCTGACATTAAGTGTGTTTAACTGTATATGACATACAGTATATCCAAATGAGCTTTAAAATCATGAGCTTATAAATTCAGCAATTTAAAAAGCACAAACATTCTCTAATAATGTGTCTAAAATAAATGATAAATTCAGAGTAATACCTACAAAGTGGCCAACGACATAAATCATTTGTTCAAGATGATTGCAACAGGGTTATGGGACGAAGCGTGCACTGCTCCAATGGATGAATGAGACTTTTTTTCTTATTATTCTTTTTATTCAGTTGCAGGGATAGCACTTTGTTCCAGAAAGCCACATGTGCATTTAGGACTGAGACAGTTGAGGCATGGAGTTACTTTTGTGTCATTTAAAATATTACATTTGCATTATAAAACATAAAAAAACCAACCTTGTTTTTAAATCCAAAGGTTTTACTGTTGAGCTCACTCTCGTGGGCAGTCTCTGTTGGTCAGCATGGCAGCTTCCACAGTTTGCAAATAAGAGAGTGAGAGCATAAATGACATAAAATCAATGTGTAGGTGTGTTTGCACATAACATTCATCTTGGTAATGGCAATAATGTTATGTTTAAACTACGATTGGTATTATTTTACTTCACTTTTTTTTTGCCTGTAGCTAGATATGGATTTTCATAATCAGTTTCCACATCACAGTTTGTTGAACAAAAGCAATCTACATGGAGTCCTTTATAAAACGAAACATTCTTTGTGTTATTGTGGCAAAGGCTAGATATAAACATACCCGTGCAGTGACTTTTCTGCCTTCTTTGCTCTTTCTATGCTTTCACCACACAATTATTTACCAACTGTCAGTGTTGTGACTCTAATCAGTAGAGACATGTCATATTTCACCTTAACACCCACGTTCAACTTAACCAGCAGCAGTTTTGGATTTACACTCAAAAGTTTGATTGATATTAAATCAATGAAAAGAAAACTAAGGAAATAAGGAAAAAACATCTATACAGTTTTTTCTTTCTTTCTTTTTTCTTTTTGCAAAATTATCTTGTTTGTTTGTATAAAAGTGACAGAAAAGTACCCATATATTAGTCCTTACTTCTTTAAGAACCATATATTGTTTTATAATAACATTTCTACTGTTTTGACAATCGTTCCCATTTTCCAGTTCAGCTCCAAAATGATCTGATTCATGAATTGAACAAAAACTAATTCCTCAGCAGCAGCAGCAAAACAGTTCTCATCAAAACCCTCCAATATCAGTGTAAATGTTCTTCTGTACCAGAGCTGTAGCCCAGGTGCAGCAATAAGCTACACAGACATGCTTCTGTATCACTGTCTGATTTTTTTTTGTTCCCAGCATATTGTTTTCCACGAAAAACTGTATGAAACACTTTGAATCACTGCCAACTATGTAACTTTTCGCAGGAATTTGCTAGCCTGAGGAATACCTACACAATGCTGAACAGAAAAAATCGAAATGACTGAGCCCGTAATAAAGTGTTAATCTTTATCTTTGAGATTTTGAGTCCTCAACGAATGTCGTTTTACCCTCAATTTAATGTTTGCCAAAACATTACAACTTTTTAAACAATTGTTAGCTTACATTTTTGAAGATTTTTGTCTTTGCTGCAAATGAATGAGTGCTACAGACCGTGTGATTCATAACATTTATTATTTATTCTTAACAGAATAAGTCAGATTACCCAATATCATCAGCATGTTACTTTAGTATCTCAGGTATTTTGTTTGCAGACACTTGTCTGCCTAATTTGCCAATAACAGTAGGTTTTAATGACAACGATGCAACAAAGTCACAAAAAAAAACAAGTTAGGTACATTTTTATCTATATTGTCCACTTTCATGCAACAAATCATCCTCCCTCTTTTGGTTTCATTTCTATTAATTTCTCATTATATCCTGATAGTTTCACTCATTATTATAAGCGGAGAGCATTTTACCTTACATATTAAAACAAGTTGTTTTGCTAAAGATTTTGAAATTGAATTCATTGTGACTGTAAGCAGAAGAAACCTAAATCTATTCCCATCTGTTTTATTTCATCTGAAGTTTCAAGGATGCTTATTTTGGAATTTGAGCAAATAAAACCAGAAAACATTTGCTTTTGCGACACTGGGGGTACACGTTGAAATATGTATTTTAGTGAATGTGTGAAGTGACCCTTTAACCTGCCGTCTCTGCTTGTGACATCATATAACATCCCCCTCCACTCTGCTAACTAAGATATAAATTTAAGTGTGTATTTGACTCAACATAGTCATGATTCTCACCTGAGGTTCCAGGACAAAAACAAGAAAAAAAACCTGTTTATGTGTGAAAACATTTTGCTACAAAAGAATATAAAATATTGTCTAATTCCTATGAACCAAAATGGCTCTTCTGTCTTTCTTCTTCCTGCGACATCAAGTTACTTTACAGATTCCATTATTGATGACATTTTTCAAATGTGATCCTTATGAATGGAAAGTGTTGTCTAACCGCGTCTGCCTACAAAGTACAAAGAAGCTAATGGAGTGTTCTTCCCCTCATGCGGTGTTTGTTTACCGCAGATGAGCCACGGGTTTTCCTCCTGAGGTCCAGCTGCTGTAATCAGGCCAGTTGCTGCTGACTCACCTCAGCACTGCCCTTATTACAAATCATCGGTACATGCAGCTCCTGGCCAGAGCCCATAATAAGGCCTTAATTCATATAATCTGTCAGGAAAGGTGCTTACGGCAGCACAGAGTAAATATAATCTCCACAAGGGCCAAGCGCTGCTTGATAAGACAGCGATGTGCACCTCCTGAAGGCTCAAGAGGAAGATGACCGCTGCGTGCTGAACGTCGGGAAGTTCGTTTGGAACGGGGCTTTGTGTTTTCACGATACAACGGATATTCAGATATACACTTTTATAGGATCTGAGCTGAAAGGTTATCAGATAGACAGCAGCATTTTTTAAAGAGAGTAAATTAAGTAC